TCTCAAATTTATATGCACCTTTTTAGCTAAATTTCAAGTTTTTGAGCTATTTTTACGCTTTTTTTATTTTGTTAAAATTATTTTGGAGAAAACTTGACTTAAAACCTGAAATTTAGCTGAAAACGTACATGAAAAATTGACATTTCGTGCGAAAATTGGTGACAAATTTAGATAGTTCAAAAATCTGAAAGTTTGTTCCTTTTGTACAGAAAATTTGTACAAAATCGATATGTCTGTCTGCTTGGGAAATGTGTTCATAACATGCTAGATTATTGAACAGATATATATTTGTTCGGAAACTTCAACGCGTTTTGAACATGGTTACATGTGGATTTTTTACCATTTTATTTTCGTTACAATTTCAACACTATTTTCTTCTTTGTTCATCTGGCCGGGATGAAATATGGAAAAGAAATAGACTAATTTTATTTTATTTATAATTTAATTAATAATTTAATAAATTATAAATTGAATACCAACAATTTATATTTAAAATAAGTTAAATTTTGTATAATTTATATTTATTTTTTAATATAAATTGACATCCCATACTCCGACCGTTGATAATCTGAACTAGCCCTATGTTATTTTCATATTATCTGAAAGAAAAAAAGGTTTTAATGAAAAATGAAAGTGTTGTTAAACGACTACAATATTTTGCACTTGCGAACATCTTTATATTGTAAAGCTAAGTTATGTACATTTAATCAAACAACAGCTACAGAAATTCATGACAAAGAACATATTAAACTAGCTTAATAGAACAATTAATGTTCAACGAAAATTTCATTAGCATTACAGTTGTGCTTATACTATTTAATTTCTGTATTCGATCACGAAGGAAATGAACTGTGGGTTAATTATATATAATCCACATTTATGAATGTCCTCAATTTCTTATTGAAATCTACGGACAAATATAGTTTTATTAAAAATTAACAATCAACTGTTACCACTGTTCCATCAGATAGTTCAATACTTTTAAATATCACTATTAATACAATGTATGTATTTATAAGCAGTGATTGAAAATAATATGAATGAATATAGTATCATTATGGAATTATTTTTAGAAAAATACAATGTCACAATTTTTGTTTTATAACGTCACAACATTCTGTTTTTGTTAAACTCTCTTTAAAAAAATGCTAGGGTGCTGTCCAATCATCCGGTCATTCTGGTTACACTACTATGTTATTTATTATGAAATAAAGTGACTACTCATGTAAAAACAATCAGTTCTGACCAGTCGAAATTTTGGAAAAATTCGAAAGAAATCCTTCATGTCTCTGACAATGGATCATTTTGCAATATTTTTTCTTTTATGGTGAAAAACAAAAAAACGATGGTTTATCTGAAGAAGCATATATATGGTCGGATGCGACGAAAACTTTGACATTTGCCATGAGTGGATCTGAATTTTGAACTTGACAGTAGTTATAAGTTCGATCTAGAATTCTTCTAGCGTACACATGGAATGAATCATATTCCTTAGATAACTCTAATTATCCTTCCCATTTAATAGGCTGTTTTCTTTATAGTCGAATTTTTTTGTGTCTTAACTATAAAATGCGATTCTTTCCGTCTCACCGATGGAGAATGAAGATCGTTCTTTTACACGATATAATACGATTTACTTAAGCATTCTGTTTTGTATATCTTATTGGAAAGTACTGTACAATGAAAAGCCTAATTGTTACACTTCCAAAAATGTTCAATTCGTGAACGAATGGATTTACTTCCGTTTAAATTTTTCGATTGTTTCGATTTTATTCCACAGAAAATATATCGAATAAATTATTCTACTTAGATCAATTCAATAAAATATGCCTTCAACTACTGATGTAAACATTGATGATTGCAAAGCACAATTGGCTGCTAATATCGTTAAATTATCAACTACGAATCCTCTCAATGTTATTCAAGTTTTATCAAGTTTAAATTGTCCGGGTCTTTTGGGAATGATTGAACAATACGGCACTTTATCTTGTGAAAAAACATCTTTTCTTCAGGCACTAATTACAACAATTTCTGCTATTTCTGGTCCTATTATGGTGCAAAATCCAACTGGCATTTATTCACTTCCATTGAACTTATTTACTCATTTAATTGGAGAACCAGGTTTGATTGACTTTTTTTTTATTGCTAGTCAGAAAATTTTCAAAGGATAAGAGACAATGTCGAAAAAGTTCTGGAAACTCTAAAAGCCATTGAAAAAATATCTCTATTCATATTCTCAAAATTCTAGATATTGACATTAAAATGTTTTCATTGTTTCTTCTTTTACTTTCTGTTCTGAAACTTCAAAATCAAAATTGACTTGTCCAAACACTACCTTGACATTATATGAATGAAAACAATATTATGACCATAATCACTAGTTAAATTTAATTCGCCATTTTTCTTTTTGTCAAGCAAGATTCTTGACTATCGAAATCAGATCATGATTATTTAGCGTTGCCTTGTGAAAACGTATAGATTCCAGACTATTCAACAGCCATTATTCATACTGTTACGTAGATACATTTTGATCAGTTTCTTATCTGAGAAAGACTATTTCGTGCTAGATACTTATGCATGTAACTCGCAAAATAATTCGAAAAGTCACTAGATATTCAAATAGAATAAAATCTTGTCATTAATCAATACGATCAGTTGTTCGCTGATTGATGCAAGTAGTGGCGTAACAAGACAGGTCTAAAAAAGACTCAATCTCCCTTATGAGACTTTGAGCACTCACACCCATAAAATCTTTTTCTGGTTATGCTACTAGATATAGGATGCATATAGCCATCATTCTTAATTGTAACGCATCTGATTGTCGCCTGATATGAATCGCCTACAAAACTATTTGGAGATATTTGATGATTTCCATTGGCGGAAGAAGAGTTGCAGATCTGTTAAAATATTGATCTGCTATTGTCATTAGACAATATATTCAGTTCAATTGATCACAACTTTAATACATTTAATAAAGCGTATCAGCTGAGTTTTGACCATAATTCCTACAGATTAGAAGGAAGGTAACCTATTACCGAGATATGCATGCTCGTTGAATTTTTTCTGCTATTATAATGTGACTTCGAATCGAAAACATGCGTCTATTACTATGACAATCGGTTTTTCGCTTTTTTCACTCTTGCTAATCGTAAATTAAATAAATGCATGACATAATGACATACATAAGTAGATTTCTTAAGATAGCTATAAATAATTAAACTGTAAGTCATAATAAATGCGAGAAATCAATCGATTTAGTTAATTAATTATTCGACGATAAAAGTTTACTCTGCGCAAGAACAGAATTGATTTCAATAGAAGAATAGCGATGATATAAGCTAATTATATACATATATATATTTCATATTTCGTGTCAACCAAAATTTCGCATCACATTCACTAAAACTATGAAGATGAAACAATTTTTAATTTTATTTTTATTAAATAGTCAATATAGTTGTTATTATTATTTCAATGTTTTAAAATGGTTTATCGAAATTTTTTAGAACCTTTGTTTTTGCTACAATATGTTTAACTTTCTTAAAAACTGCGCGAATTAATCATGTTTCATTTGCTTGATCCGCTAAATACACTTGGATATAATCATTGAGACAAAAATCAAATAGTATAGATTCTGGTTAATATGATTGATGTGGTATAATACCAATGCCTTGTTCTCTTCAATAGTTAGTAACATTCGAATGATGAAAAGATCAAGTCTTATCGTCAAGAAATTTTGTATTTGTTCTACCTTATGAGTCTCTTTCTTTGCCTATTAGATTATTACAAGGGTTCAGATGGTTTTCAATATAATAGCTTTGACCTAAAGTTTTTCTTTCATTTGTACAACGTGTAAGAAAAGGATCATCTCATCGAAAGAAAATTCAAAACTGAGTTTCAGTTTGAAAAATATCTCGATGAAAAATAGTCGGCGACTATTCATCTTCATTAATTCAGCTATTATTAAGAAATTTGAGAGCAATTTATATAAAATATCTTCATATCTAATCAGCAGTAAAATGAAAAGCAACTGACATAATCTTTCACAAAATTTAACTAAATTTAATAAAAACTCAAACATATAGAAAACATCAAACTTTGCATGATGAATGATGATAATCGCCTTGAACATTTCATAAAATAAAGAATAAAAAAATAAACATTTAATTTTTATGCTTATATTTTTTATTTTATGCTATCAAACTTTTGATCCATCCTAAGTATTGTGCTAATGAATCAAACTTTTGTGCATGTCAAACTCAGATGTGCGACGAGGTATTTACAATTCACAGACTAAATACATCGTAAATGAAAAGAAAAATACTGAGATGCATACTCAGAATTTTTTGATACACAAATAATTATACTCATAGATTTCATATAACATACATCGCAGCGTCCTGACAAGCTATGTCGAGAACGGACGTCCTTATTTGAACAGCGCTTTCATTAGGATCATCACAGACGCTACGATCTGTGATACAACAAATACAGTAGTAAAGTATATTTTAAAATGATTCATCATCAGAGAAAGTCATTATTATCATGAATACAATAAATTTAGCTGCATCTTCTCCGAACTCATATAATAATTTCAATAGTGTTTTTAAGCGAAATACCTATAGTCAGATTCAGCAGTATTATAATCACATTCGTACTCATCTCATTTAAATAATCTAGAATCATGCGAACAGCTAGATGCATTCGTAGCAAAAATACAACGCGTTAAAATATATCTTACTGACAAAATGAGAAAAGTCGAACTGCGTTGAAACATATCACTGAAGTTAAGAGCATCAAAGGGTTAATTTGGCACGTATAGATGATTGAATGTCTTTGACGGAGAGCGTCGGATCATCTTTTATTTAGCATCGTTTGTAGTTATCTAAACGGTTAGATGCAACTATGAAAGCACTTGTCTCTCTATGTGACTTATAATTATTCTGTACTTGTTTGAATGTACTTATTTAAGAAAAAAAAAGCCCATTCGAATACACAAAAATGGTGCAAAGCCAGTTGTGAAAAGAAAATTTCATGAATGTATTTCAGCGCATTCCAAGTAGATTTTATTCTACGTTACATTTCAGCCTTCTTATTTATGGCCAGCATTCATTTAGACATGTCTAAAATTTGTTTCGTGGTTGTATGTGAGCTACTCTAAACAACTCAGAATTGAGAGGACAGCAGCATTGTTCTGTCTATTATTAAAGGAACCTCTCTAATATGCAATAATTCAGAATAATTAATTTTGGAGCGTATTCTTTATGTAGAAATTGAAGTTCTTGTGAATAATTCTATAGATAGCTACAGCGATCTCTAAGAATACAAAAACAATATTCTTTTGAGATGATGAAAATTACAGGAGAAAACATTGTCGCATCATAAACCGTGGTCATTTTTTTAGTTTTTTAGTTCATAAGAAGTTACTCTCTTCTAAGTGAATCTCTATATACGTTTCGCACTATCCTCTATTCACTGAACATATTTCAAGAGTTAATATATAACTATTAAAGTAAAAAAACCTGAAAAGATGAAACAGTTTCGAATACATGACATCGAAATTTACATATTATTTCGCTAATTTTTGAAAAATGAATCTGTTGACAAAAAAACGCTGACAATCGTCCTCATTTTTCAACCACAGGATATCCGATCGATCTCAAACATTCTTCTGCTTATACTACAGCACGTTTAGGGCGCCTCCTTTTTTTTGTTTCAAAATATGATGCACTGCTGGTTTTTTCCATGGTTTACAAAAGAAGCTCCAGCTAAAAAACATAAAAAAATCACCAATTTTTGAGGATACGCTCAGTCCTTTGATTTTTTTGTTCGAACGAAAAATGCTAAAAAATTAAAAGAAAAAACATCCCAAACAGTGTCTAGTATCTGAAAAATTAATTAAAACTCTATCAGATTTATTGCAACTGAGAAAGCGGGCCAATAGGAGGACGAATTTTAGCTTTTACAACTTCAATATCTCCTAGAACAAAGCACTTGCGAGTTTTTGAGACTATGATAATTTTTACTCCATGTATTGATATCGATCTATTCTGAAAGTTTCAAATTTTTCTGATGAGCTGTTCTCTAAAAATGTTGAAAAGGAAAAGGACTCCACTTAAATGTAGAAATGTCACATATTTTTCGAATGTTTTTTTCTCTAAAACTAATTTAGCGAATAATTCTGGAAAACAGAAACATTGAACTATAATATTGTGTTCAAAAGCAGTCACATTTTTTCAGGACAATTATTTTTGAGAAGCACAATTGCCAATGTGTGTTGTCGTATCCAACAAAAAACGTAATGTCAGTTTTTCATCTACCTAACTTAGAAAGCGGCGACAGACATCCTGCCGAACTGGTTTCAAAAACCAGTCATTATATTATGGCCAACACATTATAGACTATCGTTCAGAATGAGATCCGTTCTATGGTATTTAGCGTTTAAATACGAAGAAATTTCCTGAGAAGAACTTTTTAAAGATGCATATCAGAAATATTTTTGTAAGAGAAAGTTGCTTTTTTTCGAAAATACAACAACATATCTAGCTAAAAACTGTTGAAATTTACGATGAACCGTTCATCAGCAACACCAAAAAGACAGTTTCATTAGTATTTTCCCATGGAAGGCAACTATTTTCACAATACTCGCTCGAAGTTTTAGCTTTTTTGATGAAAAATTCAGATTTTAGTGACGAAGGCGGATGATTTTTCCAAGTTGGTTAAACAACTGTTATGTCATGAATTAGATTCGTGACTCATACAGAAGAATATAGGTTTATCTCAAGATCTCTGCTTTGTATCTTTCGTTCTCCTATTCATTGATAATACGCTCTATGTTGTTTATATCGTTATGTAATTTCATAAAAATGAGAAGACCTCATTTGATATAGTATAAAATTTACTTCATACTTCTTTCAAGATAATCAAAATATATCTCCATGTGTTTCTGAAATGTATATAAGCTTCTAAGATGATGTTACGTGGCAGAGTCGTATTGGCACATGTCACATAGAAATATTTTCTGAACTCCTCCAAAGTTTGATAGTTTCTAAAACCAATGTGTCGTAATAAGCGCGGTTTAATGTATCTATATTAAGGTTCACGAAGTGTTGATGGCAGTTGAATGTGTGAATAAAAAAAGTAGTATAATGAACGCATCACTCAGGTTACC